TCTGAGCTTTTTGTCCTTAGTTGCCAATTATGATCAGTTTCCAGCCACTATCAGCAGACCAGCTGCATTATCTTACTCTGCCCTCAGACAGCTGAATGGTGTAGGTACTTTTGAACGGTGTAGGATAACTACCTGTTCAGTTTTGGCACTGATAGTCCTATGTTCTAGAAACCACTGGTCCCAGGCAAACTAGACAGTTTGGGCAAATCTGGGGTTAAGTGGTTGGTATCAGTTGAGGAAGGAAACCATTTAGAGATGTAAGAATAGATGAATCCAGTAGACATTGCTTTGGAGTGCTGTGTCTGGGCTTGGTCGTGGCCCACTACCTATATTGTCACCTTAGGAAGATCACCTCCCAGATCCTGTAGAAAATTCCAGAAAGCAGCGTGTTTTCTGCTTGAAAGATACTGGCTCTGCATGCAACTAAAGTTGAGAGAGGGAAGACCAAGTGCCAGGACCAGAGTCAGGAGCCAGAGATGCTGACTGAAGGCTCAGGCTCCTTCCTTTCCTGAACTCCGTCTGGTACCATCTATTTGGCTACAGCATAGAGGAGGCTCTTTAGGAACATTTCTCTAGGACTTACATCTGGGCAGCCACATATGCTGCTCAACCAGCCCTACTTGTCTCTTTTCTTCCTTCCCTTTTGGAAGTCCCAGCTCCATCCCTTAGTAGCAGCATAGTTTCCTGTGATCATAACATCTCTGGGCTTTAACTTATAAAATAGCAACAGTAATGATTTCTACCTACTAAGTTGTCTAGAGACTTGAGATCATTTCTGTTAGCACTTAACAGAGTATTTTACCATAGAGGAAACAAGAAGTGGAGGAACAGGATAATTCCATTCTCCACATGACAAAGAGTATTGGAGACCATCTCCTTTGTGCCTTTCCCCAGCCTTGAGCATGCTAGAGAGAGGTCCACATTTCACTGATGTGCCTGTGCTTGGACTCTGCTAAATAGTAGGTGCTTAGCAGTATTGATTTAGGATCTGACGATGGTGCTGATGGCATGACCTATCTCCCGGGATTAGTAAGCATAAAATAAGAAAATGAGTGGAAAGGAAAGAAGCCTAACACTTGGTATGTCCCTCTACTGTCCCTTGTTTGCTCAGGTGTCTTTTTTTCTACTTACTAACTAGCAAGCACTTCTCCAAGGCACAAATTACTTATCTCTTAAGTCCTACTCTATCTTACATAGTTCCCCCTAGTAGATTAATTGAATGTGAGTGGCATAGGAAAACAAAGGAATTATGGAGCTATTCTTAGGGGCCAGAAAGAGGGCTTATAAATACAGACTGGATCTTCCTTCCTCTAGGGCAGAAGCACTCATCTGTCCCTGAGAGTAAAATAAACAACTCTCTTCTTTCTGAGGGAATAATGAAACTGGGCAAAGGAAAAGGAAGAGGGGCAGGGATAATGTTGTCATTATCTAAGAGCAGCTAGAGCTAGAAGCTAGACTTGGGCATGTCTTTCCTTGGGTTGGAATTGACGCCATCTGCCTGTAGTATCGGAGTGGGGTGTTTGACCATTATCAGTCAAGGAAATGTTTGGTATGGTTTAGGCACACCTGCTGCATAGCTGTGCCAGCTTGGTGAGCCCATGACTGAACTGTTTGGGCTGGTGCTGTGGGTGTGGGCTTTGACAGTATGGGAAGGAAAGAAGTATCTAAGTGGTCTTTCTGCTCTGATCTCTCAGAGGGTCTTCTTTTGTGCGAGTGTATCTGGGTATGTATATGTAAGTACAGGTGTCCTGATGGGTCAGAGCAGTCAGTCATAGGTGGCCATGAGCCACCTGCCATGAATGCTGGGAACTGAGTTCAGGTATGTGCTCCTAAAAACTGAGTCATCTCTCTAGCTCCATTTAAAACATAAAAAAAAAAAAAAGATTCTTGAAAGAGTCTTCTGTCATGAACTCCTCTTTGCATTTCAGTGGTTCACAAGAATAGGTCATGTACAGTCACGCTGTCATAGCTCCTAATGCTGCTGAGGAAAGACTCCGGAGTAGCCATGTTGTGTATCTGCTCTTGTGAATCCCCTTGAGTTTTGAGGAATAAGTCTGGCTAATGGGCTGATCTCATGTGTCTGAGCTGTTTGCTTTCTTTCTTTGTTTTCTTCTTTTCCCTCATGGAACTGAGACAGGTCTCAGGAGTATGTCACTGAATCTGGTCACTAGCTCCATGTCCCTATGAGTGAAGGAACCAGCAACAGGAGAGTTTGAATGCCAAGCTTTGGTGGGAGGCTTGGCTGCATTTTCAGAGCCTGCTGAGAAAGCTGACTGAGTTCTGGTCAGAGCAAGACCTGAAGCGTATTCTGTTTTATAATACTAATGAAATTCCAGATCTGTAATAGCATTTCAGATATCTAAAACAAACCGCGTGCTTGTAAAAAAGTAGAAAGAGATCAACTTTAAGCCATACATTCTTGGTAATAGAGGTTTTTTCCCCCTATTTATGTTTGATAGATATTTTTGTTTCCAGAGGAATGTCAACTCCTAATTTCATAATGTATCACAGGCTTAAGAAAATTGAATTTAATAAAAGCCAAAGATGAATGGCATCCTTAAAGGTCCCAACACTTGTCTTTATTAGCAGGACAAACTGCAGGTCTCCAAACACTGTTTCTTTCCAAATGAAAGTTTAAATGAAAAGTACGGTTGTGTCACGGGTTAAATCTCATTCTGGGCCTAGCTAACATTGTTAGTGAGGAGCTGGCTCTCTCTGTTTCCTTAGACACTAGGGCAGCCAAACTCAACAGGCAGTGGAGCTTTCTTCTGGGGGAAATACTTCTACTTAGTAGTAGAAGAATTTACTACAAATTCAGAGGTCACAGTGGGCCTGACTTGTGAGCCACAGCTCAGAGCTGACTCTTGGGAATCATGGATATGTGAATTTTTAGGAACAGCAATGGGTATGGTGTAAGGGCATGTGCTCAACTTAGTTTCCAGGGCAAAACTCCTCTCTGCTTGACCTTTTTAGTGTTTTGTGGGAACAAAGGCCTAGCATTTCACTCCACTGAGAGTGTCTGTCACCTGACCTAAGCAGAAGTCTGGGCTTTCTTGCCCTTGCTTTGCAGCCATTTAGCCCTTCCTGTGTCTGGTAATACGTTTCTTCATCTCTGGGGATCTGCCCAGGGGGACCAGGAGAACTCCCATCAGCTTCCCCATCTTTGGGCATCAGCCTAGGGCAGTGGTTCACAACCTGTAGGTAGTGATCCCTTGTGGTCAAATGACCCTTTCACAGGGGTCACCTAAGACCATTGGAAAACACAGATATTTACATTATGATTTGTAACAGTAACAGAATTACAGTTATGAAATGATTGAGAGTCACTACAACATGAGGGACTGTATTAAAGGGTCAAAGCATTAGGAAGGAAGGTTGAGAACCAATACTTAGGCGGACCAAGCAGTCAGAGCCTTTAAATTTCTCTGATGTGAAATCTAACTTCCTTGATTTGTTTTTCAGCCTTACTGTTATACTTTGAATTGAAATAAATGTTTGAAAATAAAATAAGTTCAGCCAGGCAGTGGTGGCAGATGCCTTTGACCTTAGTACTTAGGAGGCAGAGGCAGGTGGATATGAATTCCATGCCAGCCTGGTCTACAGAGTGAGTTCCAAGACAGCCCAGGCTATACCGAAGTACATAATATTAGTGGATGTATTTCTCAAGGATGGCAGTTGTAGCCCTTGGGACATGAAGGCAATTGACAACTTTCTGTTTTCCCACCTACTGATCCCTGATTGGGGTCAGTAGTCAGCAGTGGTGATCTCTATATTGCTTCTTTGGGCTGTTTCTGCAGAGAACTAGTTTGCCTTGGTTTTGATGGTGCCAGAAGGATCTTCTCTGGAATGAGGGTTCTGGGGTAGGTATGCTCCTGGAGCTGATTGTTGGGGCCCTTGTGTGGGCAAAACTCCCCTTTTGTGTCTGCAGTGGAGGCTTTTTTCACATGCTAATTTTACTTCCGAAGATTTTGCTTTTATTTATTTTTTTATTATTTCCTATTTGTCTCTTCCAGATGTTTTCAGGGCAGTTTTTTGTGTGTGTGGGTGTTGTAAACTAATTCCATTCATGTTTTAAAAATTTATGAAAGCGCTAATAAAAATGTCAAAGTGGTAAAAATGTTAGCTTTTCCTCTGCTTTGATTAAATTTTGCAAACTGTTTTTGAATATTAAAAAGCAATATATTTTTTTATTCTCTCCCCTTGGTTTCCCTCTTCTTTCTGGTGTGCGTGCTCTCTCTTGCCCTCTCCCCCTCTGGTGCATCCCTCCCTTTCCAGGAACGATGTATGAGGCGTGCTGCACAGCCAGCGTTCTGCAAGCCTGTTTGCACACCAGGACCTTGGTGCTGTGCATCTCTATTAAATAACGGAGACAAATTAATCTTAGAGACACCAAACAAATTGTCACTCCTCCTCCTTCTCTTCCATTACCTTCCAGGAGACTGGGAAGGGCTTGCTAAGCGGTTGGGTGGGTAGGGCAGGCAAAGGGGAGTGTGAAGAGCTTGAAGGAAAGGTGGGAGGCATTTGCCCCTATTAACTTGTGTTCTGTTTTCTCCTTCTCTCTGATATCCCTTTTGGCTTTATTTGGGGGGTTTGTTTGTTATCTTTTTTTTCTTTCTCACAAAAACCTAATGAACACCCCCCCCCACACACACACATACACTGGCAATGTTTAAGCTTCATACAAGGAAATCTGTGCCTGTGCTGGTGGCTGCTTGCTTACCTAGAGATCCAGACCTTTCAGTACAGCATCCCTAAGAGAGGGAAGGCTTTCTTTCTCTTAGAGGCTCAAATGATGGCCACTGTGAGGGAAACTGGTAGGTAGATTGCACTGCTGTCTTCCTTCCTAAAAACTATGGGGAGGCTTGTTGACATTCGCCCCTTCTAGACTTGGGTTTGGGCTGCAGGAGGAATGAAACATTCTTTCATGGCCTGGCATAGTTATTTGAAGTGGTTGATCACAAGAATGACTTACCTTCTCTTCTGTCTCTTTGGCATTCTAGGAAATCATTGAGTTCCCCATCCTGAAGTTAAATGGCCGCACCATGGAAATCGAGTCTACCTTTCACATGTATGTCCAGCCTGTAGTCCACCCACAGCTTACCCCCTTCTGTACAGAGGTAAGGGCTGCTGGGAGAGGAGCTTTGGGATTGTTGGTTCATGCAGGCCACTTAGGGAAAGCTAGATCTGATCAGTGGTTAAGGCAAGAGCCTAGCAATGACTTCTTATTCTGTGACTGCTTGAGTACCTGTCCCCAGGGACAGCAGTGATACTGCTTGCCCCAGATTTCCCAACATTTCTCTTTCCTTCTTGTCCCCAAAATTTCTGGCAACTGGACACTTGGAGTCAGTCTATGAATAGTATAGGACTCCTTAGGTTCTTTGCAGTTCCATTTCCGATAGGGCCTTTTGGGAAGAAGTGAGGGTTTCAGTCACTTGGAAGGAATTGTAATGTTCATGCTTTCTTAGCTTCCTAAGATGTTGATGTTGCTCTGCAAAGTAAAGCACGGCTCTCCCGCCAAGGACAGAGAAGACAGGCTGGTCAAAGCTCAAGTGTCTTTATCTAGGCTCACACTGTACTTGGCTACCGTGTCTGCAGATTAGCAGATCCCATTTTACAGACTGCAAAAATATAGCTGAGATTTTGATGATTGCTTGAGGTTTAGAAGTGCCCTCAGCAGAGGGGAGGAGCTCCTGGGAGGGTTGACTCCACGGATGGTTTGGAGAAGCTTCCTGGAGCAGCTCTGTCTATAATGTGCCAGAGTCCCTGGTCAGGCATGCATGGGAGCAGAAGTGATGGAAAAATGTTAATTTGGAGCTGAGATGTATTGAGCCTTTGTGCCTTCATATAAAGACCTACTTTCTATGCATAAGTGAAATAGGGGAAAGAGGTTCCTGAGGGATTTTTGTAGTGGAAGAGGCTGGGGAACAGCCTCTTAGATGCAGTGGGTGGATCAGTGGGCCCTGAGAGCTCCTGAGCTCATAGCCAGTATTTGCCACCTGGCCCAGGTAGGCCTTTTATGAGATGTACCTGTCTGTTCAGGTGTCCATTCTCCTATGAAGCTGTTCCTCATTTTCCCCCTCTCCCCTGGAAATTGCCTCTCCCACTAGGGTGAGTGGCTAATTTGCCTTTGCTCCCTTTTAGAAAGTCACCATTCAACAGTGGAAGGTTACACTAGCTAGCCACCACCTAAGACATCTAAATGGCCTGGAAGCTATGTCATGCCCTCTTCCCATCCAGATACTAACCAGGCCAACCTGGTTAGCTTAACTTTGGGAACAAAAGATATGGGGGCATTTAGGCTGGTATGGAGTTGTGAGGCCACACTACCTGGTGTGAACCAGAGGCCCAGATCTTGGGAGTGGTTGCTGCCTGTTCAGGAACGACAGAATGCTGCTGGGCCCAGCCTTTGACAAGGATAGGTGCTCCAGAATGTGGGGATGGGAGGCACCCAGAGAGTATCCTCTGGCACAGTTTCTGCTGCAGCTCTGTGAGACTATAAGGAAAGCATGTTTTTTTCTTGGCAGTTTTACCCAAGAACATTCACAATTGGAGGGTGGTGGGAGTGATGTTGGGATCTTGGAGGTGCAGCTGTTCTGAAGATAAAGATGTGGTTGTGAGAACTCAGTGCTCTCCAGACTCCCAGCTCCTGCTGTGTCCCACCTGCTGCAGTGTGCCCTACACTTTCTTGCGCTTTGTGGCTGCTTATGGTTGTGTCCTTCCTTGGTGCACAGCCTGGGTTGTGCTTACTCCAAAATCACATCGATCAGACAGCTTCTATTTTGATTATTTATCTGTTTTGCTATTCAATAATGAGTACCTAGAGTGCAGATCCATTTCTGTCCCATTATGAGGGTTAGTACCATACATGCTCATAAACAAGGGGCTTTTGCCAAGGTGGTGTCTGCATCTCCTCCAAAGCTGCTATACTGTTGATTTGGCTTTTTTAAAAAACAAAACATAGATTATCTGTGTTTGGGAGGGAATGCACACATGCTTTGGCGCAATTTGGACAGAGGACAGCTCATGAGAGTCAGTTTCTGCTTTCACTGTGCCTCCCAGGAATTGAATTCAGGACCTCAGGTTTGGTGGCAAATGGCCTTACTGGATGAGCTGTCTTGGTGGCCTCTGGCTTGTCCTTTTGAGTGAGTAAAGTCTCTGGAAAAACCTCACATTACCTCAGTGTTGCCCTGACCCCATACCAGCTGTGACTAGGTCTTGAAGTGAAGTATAGGTACAGGGTGAGGCCTCATCTACCTTGATGGCAGCCACTTTTGAGATAGCAGTGGGTGGAGTTAACCTACCCAGAAACTCTCATTAATAAATGTGGGAGCAGTGGTGTCATACCTCTAGATTGGACCCAAGCAGCTTTTCTAGCAGACCTTATTTCTCAAATGCACAAGAAGTTCTTAAGAACCCTAGTATGGTAAGGTGCAGAGGCATGTGCCTATAATCTCAGCACTCTTTAATCAGAAACAGGAGGACGAGGAGTTCACTGCCAGTGTGGACTACATGAGACTGTTGTAGACAAACAAATAGGTATGCGTGATGACTCATGCCTATATTCCTTGTACCTAGGAGGCTGAGACCGGAGGCTGGGAGTTGGAGACCAGCCTGGATTAACCTAGTGAGTTTAAAGCTGTGATACCAAGGGCTGGGGCTAGGTAATGTGATCTTGTCTCAAAAAACACGCAAACAAGTCCTCTAACCTGTATATGTGCATGTATCTGTGAGCACACACTTGTATAGTGCTGGGCCACAGAGAGAAGGCTTTGTCCTGAGCAGGTCTGTAGTTCCACAGATGTCATGCTGCTTTGTGAGGAGGGTCTCAGCCTTCTGAGGTACTGCCACAGTCATTGACACTCATCCTGAACATGGCTCTAGTGGAGGTGGGTGGGTGCTTCTCTCCTGTGGCCTCTGGAATCTGTCTGTTTGTGAGCTTGTGCTCCAGCAGCTAAGCTGCTGCAGTCCCTGGCCATGTACAGTCTTTTGTTGTTGCTGTCATGAAATAAAATAACAGAAATACCCATTTTGCTAAATGCCAGTAAAGGGCTTTGTCTTGCACCTGTACTTATAAAGGGTGAGATTTATTGGTCTCTTTGTGTGAAGAGAAAGAGTGGGTCTGCTTATCAGATTGCACACCAGAGACAAGTGCTTATGTCATCAACACACTGTCTTGGTGTCGGAATACGATTGTGTTGGAGATAAACTGAAGAGAGAACGCCTGGCTGCTGACATGCTGTTGGCACTGAGTTTCCTGGGCTGCTTCCTGGAGTTGCTACTGTTTCCAATGAAACCAGCTCATCCCTGCACAAAGCCCTCATGTAGGTAGGGGGATTGGGAACCAGCAGTGTGAACAGTCAGGTCAAAAGTCCCCGTCTGTGGTTTCCATTTGGAGAAGTGGGAGTTAATCTGTAATTCCTCAATAAAAGGAGCCAGAGAACAAACATTAACTCTTCCTCCCATCTCTCCTACCTTAAGTGGTTAAGGCCTCAGTCCCGTTTAGCCTGTGAACCCTGGTTCTCAGCTTAACAAATACTTGGCTTTGCTCTAGTACCTTTCATTGTGAGGATATGAAAGCCTTTTGCAAATATATACTAATCTAAGTAGGCTTAAAACTGCAGCGTGAAGGATTTAAGTTAGGCCTAAGATAGAACTTCCCAGTTAATTTTATGCAGTTGTCTCTTTGTATATCAAATACAGGGACTTAGCTTTTCTCAGTTTTAGCCCTCTTCACCCAGTATACACTGGCAGAGCTGGTAAGAGGTGGCTCATTCTTTGGGTGATGAATCCATCCCTCCAAGAACTCTCTCAGTCCCCTAAGGGCTAGGAAGCTTCCCTTAGGAGACTGTGTCTCTGAGGTTGATTTCAGTCCCAAAGGAACTCGGTGGTAAGCCATACTGACTGGCCACCAGTCACCAGTGGAAATGCTTGCCGTCTAGGAAGCAAGGTGAGCACAGTTGATAGGGAGAAGTGGGCCTGTGTAGCCCCTGGCTTTCTCTTCTAGTGTCGTGCGTGCGTGTGTGCGTGCGTGCGTGTGTGTGTGTGTGTGTGTGTGCCTAAAATTTAAACCCAGGGTTTGAGTATACTAAGTGCTGTGCTAACAAACTACAGGTGTAGTGTGTTTCCTACCCACACCTGGCTTTCCCTGGGCCTAGGTTCTTGCTCTGTGCCTTTGTCTGCACTTGAAAGACTTTCTGAAGCCCTTCAGTGCTGAGCTTCTCAGAACTCCCCTGGGTGGAGCCAGAGAAGGTGGCCTGGCCTGGCCTTGCCCTACTACTCATACTAAATGCCGACTGGACTCGGAGTGACCCAGAAGTGAGAGTGACTGTGGACCTTTCCCATCACAGCCCTGACCCTAACCCATCCCTCCGCCCTGGAAGAATTTATTGGGAATGAGCAAGACTGGGGTGAGCAGCTGTAGTCCCTGGCTAGCTGGCTGTCTTCCGGGAGGTGGACCTGGAGTTGAGAATAAGAGTCTAAGTCTTGGTCCCTATGTACTGAACAGAAAATGCAGGGCAACTGTCTGCTCTGGGTGTGGTTCTGAGCTTGGGTAGGCTCCGGGTGCTAACCAGGCCGGGCATTGGAGGGCACTGTGGTGAAGAGGGCAAATTCCAAGAAGGTGGACTTTCATGTTCCTGTGCAGGCCCCTGCTGCTCTGGCACATAGTAGGTGCTAGGAGAATGAGCAGAGGAGTGCACTGTTCTTGGATTCAAACCTCCTTCCATGCAGGGCACATCGCCTCCCTGTGTGCTGGAGCAGTCTTTCCTCCTCTGTGACTCAGGCCCTCCCTCTGCTGGGCAGTTCTTTGGTCTCCCCAAGCCAGGAAAGGGTGTGGAGGTGCCAGCCGGGTGGGCATGCTGTGGGTTAAAGCCTTGCGAAACAACAGTGTAGTTAATCTTTCTAATTTATTTTCCTTTTAGACCATGGGAAGTCTGTAGGCAGCAGCTGTTACCCAATTAAAATACAGATTAATATAAAAACAGTTTCTGGAATATAAAATAGAGTGGCTGTGTCCTTACACTTCCTTAAAATACCACCTAATAATGACTTGATGAACTACAGAAACCCACCTAGAGGAACTCAGCATTCTTAAAATGAAAATTTCTTCCCTAAAAGGTGTGTATTACCATTCCATGTAAGTCACTGTGAGAAAATGATCTTCCCTCTTAGAGCCAGCACTTTCTGTGAGTTGGGTATTTGGTATTCATAAATGTAATTATAGTTTAATTGGAGTTTTAAACCCCTTCCCCCACTTCAACAAAAAAAGTTGTTTCCAAGCCAGCCCAACATACTACTCTTTGTGAGAATAGCCAGGGACATGATAGCATTGTGATTTCCAGCTAGTGTCTGGGACAGGCCCTCAGGCCTCAGATACTGATAAGAAGTCTGTGCCTACTCTGTGCTTGAGGGATATTTTTACTCTAGAAACAGCAAAGCCAAACCAGCTTGCTTAAAGCTCAGCCTGACCTTGGCATGGCCTATGCCTGTGAGTCAGTCCCTAGGCCAGGCCTTTTCGTCTCTGTCTCCCCATTGCTCATAGGTGGCCTTCCAGCGTGGCTAGGTGGTATTGAGGACCAAGGTGTGCAGATTTCTGAGGTGCTTCTTTCTCTGTGTTTGGGGAAGTGCTGGACTGACAGAGGCTCAGAGAAAGGGAAGATTCAAACCCAAGTGTGCCAGGCCCCACAGGAACTTTTGTGAAGCTGGGGTCTAATGTGCCTTATGACTAATTTGTGGGAATTTATTGAACCTGTTGAGTACAAAAGACATGTGTAAATTAAAAGAAAAAAATCCCCCAAATAAAAGTTTAAACAAGCATGGAGCCTGCCCTGTTATGAGCCTGTGTGCACAGGCCCATCTCAGGCTGGGCTGCTATTGGGGATTTTCATATAGTATCCTAGGACATGATTCCCAAGCTCCTGGCCTGGCTCTGAGCTTGAAGCAGTGAGGCCCCAGCCCTCACATTGGGAGGAGGAAGCGAGGGATCGGAATGGACTGTGTAGCATGAGTCCCTTGCACCTTGGTTTTCCACCCAAAGACTGTTTTTCTTTCCGTACAGCTCACTGGGATCATTCAAGCCATGGTGGATGGCCAGCCAAGGCTGCAGCAAGTGCTGGAGGTAGGTTGAATGACCTTTTATTCCTGACCTCTGACCTCTTCCTGCTGCCTTTCCTTCTCTCCCCTCCAGAGAATGTAGCCGTATAATTTGACTATGATTATGGCTTGATTAGAATAACATTTGCTGTCACATCAGTGACATGCTGTTGAGAGTATTGAACCATTGATCTGTCATCTCCAGCTGTTCCCGTCAGGGTTACTGACAAGATGTCCAAGTGCTGCCAGAAGTCAGGCAGAGCCCCCTCCTTGCCTGGCCTGTGGCCCTGTGCTAGCGGCCTGTGCTGGGTGGGCTGGGGCAGGGGAGCTGCTTTGCAGCCTTACGGGATTAGCCCCAGGGACTGGAGGTGTTTTTGTTTAGCTTTGGTGTTGGCTTCTTGTGGCATGTGAGCACTTCATTAACTCACCCAGAACTCCCATCGATGGCTTTTGTTTGTTGTCAGCTCCTCTAGGAGCTGCAGCCGGCTGCCTGCCCCACTGCAGCTTGCTGCAGGACGAGATGTGCCTGCCGGGTGCAGAGGCTGTACTGGGTAATGATTCCTAATCAGAATAATTACAACAATTGCCTATGTGAGGGAAATCAAATTAAAGACTTTAGAACTCTTGGCAGAGACCACACTTCTTGGATATTCTCCTCAGGGAACTGGGAAAGGTTAAGGCGCTGCTTCCTATGCACCAGTTTGGGGGAGTAAGGAAGGGGCTGTGGTTGGTCTCAGCCTCCCTCCCCTCTACCCCTCTAGCCTCAGGGTTTTCTAAGAAAAAAGGTTCTTTCCCAGTCCTGCTCTGTAGAGGAGTCAGATGTGGATTTTGTTGAGTGCTTTACTTGTTTGTAAGACTCATAAGTTGAAAGGTTAGACCTTACAAGTGTTCAAGAAGAATAGCAAGGCACATTGACATACGAGGTAGACCACGAAGAAGTGGAGTTGTGGCATCAAAAGGGAGACATCTCCCCTTAGCCATGAATCCTGTCTCCTGGGGGAGCATTATGGCCTGAACATCCTGGACCCATCTGGATAGATGGAGCAGGTCTGAGAGGCAGGCTCAGCTTACTTTGGTGACAGTGGGTACTCTCTATCCATGGAGTGTAGAGGTCCGAATATGTCAGCTCAGTTTTAGCTATGGTGAGAGCACTTGAAGTAGATAACAGAAGGTAAGATGAGGTAACTTGTATTTGCCTCCCTGCACCACTGCCCTTTTGAGAGGTAGTCCATTGCTAGAATCGAGGGAGCCCCTCAGTATGGTTGCTCTTTGCCAACAGCATTCCCCAACCAGCCTTGCTGTAAGGGGTAATAGACACATTCCTCAGGAATGTCTTGCTGTAAGGGATAATAGACACATTCCTCAGGAATGTCTTGCTGTAAGGGATAATAGACATATTCCTCAGGAATGTCTTGCTGGGGTCCTGGCAGAATGTTATGGGTCCGCTCCAAACTGGGCTCACTCAAGTAATGGTTTGAGTTGAGGGGAGGTGTGGTGTTCAGAAGATGCCTTCCTGGAGTAGAGTGCTTATGATGTTCTGAATGTCATCCACTCCGGGACTTTGTAGATGAGGAAGGAAGATTTCTAGCATCAATCTGAGTAGAGTTTCTGGAGAATAAGGGTACTATATCATTCCTGTTAGTCCTGAGTCAGTTACAGAATTAAAATGTGAATTTCTTGTCCCAAACAAAGCAGCCAGCAAGCTGCTTACCTGACTCACTACCCTGCCAGGGAGAACAGGGGAGGTCAGTCCTGAGTGTCTGGGCAGACTCACTGTGAAAGATGCCCACTAGGTTTCTGCCACATGGTGGAGTGTAAATGCCTCTTGGGGCAGAGATGGTTATGCTGGCCGAGTCCTTCTGACAGTCCTGACCTGTCCTCCTTGCTTCCCACTCTGAGTGGGGTGTTAGCATCCTACCATATGGGACACTTACTGAAGTGTTTAAAGTCGACAGGCTAACACAAAGTTTTAAGGATTTAGGAAGCTCTGGGTATTGTATCTCTTCTCTTGAATGAAGTCTGTCTTTTTTTAGGTGACCTTGGGTAAAGATGTGATGGTGTGTGTCTGCACATGTGTGTACATCTGTATAGGGGATTAAGCCAGAGAGCTGAGGGAGTCTTTCAGCTGTGGAATACCCATCCCCACTGCTTAGTAGGTTCCTAGACTGGGAAAGATTCTTAGCATAGATACAGACTATGAGGAGGGTTTAGAGACTGGTCTACACAGTGTATACCAGGGAACAGCTCTCACACTCTGGGTACTGGCTTCCCATGGAACTTGAGTGAGTTTGTAGTCCTCTTCCAGGTGCCTCCAGCATCTCAGAAGTGCCAGGGGAGCTAGCTACACCTGCTAGATGGGGCATTCCTCGTTGGAGCCCACATGTGCTCTCCATTATTGATGGGCATACAGCCCCCCTGAAGTCTGGTCTAACTGGACTTGCATCCTTTTCTGCACTGTGGGTTTTGCTGTCACTAAACTTCCATCTGTTAATGTTCTCAGTCATCAAGTATCTGTTATTTTGAAACAGGGTCTGCTATATAGCTCAGACTGGTTTTGAACTGTCTGTGTAGCTCAAACTGCCTCAAACTTGTGATCATCAACACTGCAGCTTCCAAACCACTGGGATTTCAGATGTGTGCCATCATGCCTGGCAACACATTTGTATGGAATTAAACCCAGGACTGGGTTTGGGATTAGGACAGTGTATGAAGCAGAACAAACACACACAACCTCTCTCTCCTCCCTGGCATTCTTACAGTCTGCTAGAGAAGACAGACTTTAACTGACAGTCACTCCTTATACACAGTTGTTATACCATGCCCAGACCATTGCCCGGAGTATTCTTTCCTCTTGGTCCTGTGGCAGTCCGGTCACTTTTCCATTCTCTTCTCTCAGCCTCCTGTCTATTGTAGGAGAGGCATTTGACATATTGTCACATTTAATTCTCAGAACAACCCAGTAAGATTGTCATCTTGCCCTGTTTTATAGATGAAGGAAACTGAGGCTCAGTGATGTTAAATGACTTTTAAATGACTTCCAGTCAGCAACATAGCCAGGATAAGGAAGAGCCCAGGGTTGGAACCTAGATGTGTGACACTTGCAATTCTGTGTTTCTAACTACTATATGATAGAGACTTAAAGCATAATCCTCCTGTGCAAGTGGAAGCCATGATCTGATTGGCTACACTCCCTCTCTGTGCCTGGGATCTTGTGAAAAATAGGCAATGCTTCATGAATTCTTTATGATAATTCTCTTGTTATATACAAATGTTCGTGTTTGTACTCCAGTGTGAGTGCAAACAGTAAAACCAGCTGGAGGCATGGAGAGAAGGACTTAGGTGTTCTTAGGAATGCTTTCTTTTCCTGACTAGCACTTGAGCTCAGTTCTCAAAATACTCTGCTGAATTTGAACCCTTGGCTAAGAAAAGGAGGAATGCAAAAATAGAGCCTGTTTCTAGGCTTTCAGCAAGTAGAGCAGGCAGTACTGACTGCTGGGAGGGTCTCCAGCCCATCAGTGGGACCTCCTTTGAAAGGAAAGGGGCTCCTCCTTCACTTGATGAACAACTAAGTTCACAAACATAGTAAGTACTTACTGTCAGTGTGAAATAGCATGATTGTGAACAAGGCTATAGTTAAAGTCCTGCTTGTGGCTTCTCTCTACTCTCTTAGAGCCCAGGATAGCCTGTGTTTGTGCTGGGCTATGCGTTTGTGTGACAGTCAAGTCAGAGAAGGGTGTTTGGACTATCAGTTGGGATCATGGGTAGGCTGTTACACATTGAAGAGTAGAGGGGCTCCCTCTCCCACCACACACAGACTTGTGGTGTCCTTCAAGAGCCTCTGTAGTCCAGAGCCATGCCAGGGCTGAGAGCGCATCGAAGCTCCCCTGGGTGAGCCTACCCTTCCTCCTGCTCTGGTTACAAGAGGCTTATCTGAGTGTCACTGTTGGGCTCTTCACAGGCTCAGAAAAAGGACAATCTCATTTGTTCTTGTGTACTTTCCAGAGGGTCGATGAGTGGATGGCGAAGGAAGGCCTCTTAGATCCAAACGTCAAGTCAATTTTTGTCACCTGCGGAGACTGGGACTTGAAAGTCATGTGAGTATGCAGAGGGCGTCTTTGCTGCAGGGCTTGGCATCTAGGGGACCAGGCATGCCTTTTAGGGCTTAAATGTTGAAGCCTGCTGGGCAGCAGGGGTCCCTGGGCCATTGAGACCACTAAGTTAGAGGAAGGCTGGGAGCTATGGCTTCTTGGCATCTCTGGAACAGGGCAGGGACAAGTTAGGGGTCCTGCTAGGACTGCTGTTTGTCCTGCCTTTGATAGTTCTTGCTGCTCACAATAGCCCTTCTAATTGTTGGCCTGCATATTAATGACCCAGAAGGAGAGCATTAGGAGAGCATTTTGGGGGGAGGGGATATATTTGGTTTATCAAGACAGGGCTTCTCTGTGTAACAGCCCTGGCTATCCTGGAACTCACTTTGTGGCTGACCTCAAACTCAAAGAGATCCACCTGCCTCTGCCTTCCAAGTATTTGGATTAAAGGTGTGTGCTGCCAATACCAGCTGTTTTTCATTTTTTGAGAAAAAAAAACCTTTTAAATAGAATACATGGTATTTAGTATTTAGAGTACTCTGAAATAAGAATTCGTTCATCAATCCTGTGAAGTAGCTACTGTTCTTATTTCTGTCTTATAGCTAAAGAAATTAAGGCACAGAGAGGTTAAGTAACTTTTCTAGGACCACACAGCCAGGATTCAGACCCTGCAGTTGGCTCCAGGGTCCTTTCTCTTAACTGTTTCTATGCTGCCCTATTATCTGCATTGTGTGAGACCTTGGATATCCAGTTGGGAGCCTGGTGGTCTGATGTGAGTGGACTGCTTCTGGGAAGCTGCCCAAGTGGCCCTCCTCTCTCCTCCTTTGTCCCCACTGCCTCTTCTCCTTTGTCTTCTGATCCTGTCCTGTCTGCTTGTGGAAGACAAGACAGGCTCCTTTGCTGGGTTGACACTTGTGCTTCTTGTCAGTCCTCATGGACACCTGGCTTCAGACAGCCCCTGGGGAACCAAAGAGGGTGGGGGCACTGTTTGCTGAGGATGGATAGGATCAATACCACTGTGTTCTTTGTGACTGAAGCAGCAGCAGGCATCCTACCTCCCTCCCTCCTTCCCTTCTCCTCCCTCTCTCTCTGGGGAGGGGGTGGGGGTGTCAGAAGGAGTGAGGTATAGTGACTGCAGTGGCTATTCCTACAAAACAGGTAATGAATTCTTACTAGAGCCCTTGTGTGCTTTAGACCCTGGTCATTGGGGTGAGCTTAGGCCCCCATGTGGGTGTCACACCTGCTGTTGGACCTTAGATTTGTAGAGCACATAGGCGCTCAGCACTCGATGCTCCACCCTTTGGCTATACACACACACTAGTTGCACACTTCTAGGTTTATTCCATACGACAGGCAGATTATGTGGGCTGGGTCTAGAAGTCTGGAAGCAGATGTGAATTAGAGGCAACTAACTCAGGCTGGCCTTGAACTCACTACATATGATGACCACTGATCCTCCTGTCTCCACAAAACCTGGAACTTGTCATGCTGGCTACTGAACCCAGAGCTTTGTGCATGCAAGACAACTGAGCTACACCCCAGCCTAGGAAAGTTGTTGTCATTTGTATATCCTATGTAGCTTTGAAGCCTAGAGAGACTTAGTGTGGGGCTCTGCAGCCCAGGAGAAATCATTCAGATGGGGCAGGCTCAGACTGATACCCCAGATTCTGGGGTTCATGTGGCCCAAATGTAAGATGCTTTGACCACATCCGAGGGCCCAGTTCCTCCAGGTATCCTCTCCAGGCAGTGTTTTCTTCCCTGGCATCTTCATCCTCCCAGTGCTGGTGCTTCTGAATGTGCCGCTGTCACTTGTGAATGGTTTGTACAAGCATGCATGCAGAGAACTTGATGTACATGGGACTAGAGACCATGTTGCCGGGCCTCCTCAGTTTGGAGCTTCCCCATGAGATGGAGAGACAGTTTCAGCGGGTGCTGTCTGTCTGTCTTTGGTCTGGCGTCTTCTGGCCTACAGCACCAGCCTAGCCTTTGGGCCCTGTGCTGCACTGCCATTCTGTGTCATAATGAGAAATGATGTCTGGATTGGATTGCGGAATCCAAGTGCATATGTCATTTGGTCCTAATCACCGTCTCTGGTAGGAGGTGATGTCTCCCTTTTATAAACACAGCAAACAAATAACACAGAACACTTGGGGCCTCACAGAGGTAAAGACTCCACCAAACCGAAAGGACTTCTAAGACTTCATGGTTTGCACTTGAGTTTGGGGAGGGAGTCAGGGCTCTGGAGAGGGGTGTGCCAGAGGCAGCAGCTTCTGGGTAGCAGGGTGGGGGAGGAGGACCTGTGACTGCCTTTTAGAAGCAGGACTCTGCATAACTGCTGGGAAAGTTCTTAATTAAATGTGTAACAAAATAAAAGCAGCCAGAGAGAAAAGGTAAGCAGTACTGCGTGACTGTGCACTGCTTATTGGTGTTCTGGAGTCTTGGTAGGGGCTGTCAGGTGGCTCTCAGCAGAGCCTCCCTGTACTGTGTGTGTGCCTGGCAAAGGCTGCTGCTGAGCCTGACAAGGCTGTGTGAAATTGACACTCATAACTTGTTAGTATGTGGTTGACTTGGTATTTTGACATCCATTTCCAGATTTAACTAAGTCTGAGGAATTCAGCCAATGTTTTCATTTCACACTCTTGTTTCGGGAAGCCACAGCTCCTTCTCCTTGCTGTTGTTACTTCAGCCCTCAAAGCTGCTTCGATCTCTCTTGTTGGGAAAAGGCCTGATTAGTGCAGCACTGAGAAATGGGAACTGAAGTGGCAGTAGAAATCCCACCGGAGCAAAGAGATCTGCTCTCGTCCTGACAAAACTGTTTTGTGTCCATCTTTCTTCAGAGCTGGATGAGCTGATCTGGATTTGTAGGGCTTGAGGCTGTAGCCACGGGTGCTGTTACGGTGAGTTTAGCTAGTGGGTGTGGATTTCATTTTCTTCCATGCTTTTTATAGAAAATATACTTGATAGGGTTTAGTTTAATTCCCCACCCCTCCCCAACCGACCTCTCCTCATTTTACTTGTCCCTTGAAGCTCCCCAAGGGGTTTCTTGTTCCTTTGCTTAGCCAGTTGTGGGGTGGGTGTCCAACCTTGGAGTGGTAGGCTGGTAGGGTTTGTGGATAGTGAGGAGTGAGACCTGTACAGGCAACCATTTGAAGAACTTGAGTTCTAAGCCTGTGGCCTGAAGCTCCAGGCTTACCAGCTGAACAGCATGTGTTTGAGAAGTAGACCAGAGGCTTCCTAGGTGGGCTTTTGATCTGAGAAGAGGGGAAGATGAGGAAGGCAAGACTGGAGGCAAAGCTGGCGGGAGGGAGGCACAGGCCTCATGGATCAAGCATTATCCTGAGTTCAGGAGGGGCTGGAGCCTCCTTGAGTTGGTTCAGGGAACCTTCATGGAGGCTCAGCTCACTTTTAGTACAGGAAGCTCTCCCGCTACATATAAATGCAGGGCTGGCATTGATTGGTCTTCGTTTCTCTCCATGACTTCTGGGATGTCTGTGCTATGCCCTGTGCCTAGACTCTGCAGAGATGGACCTAGAGCACCTGAGGTTTATGAAAGTCTGCAGAGTGGAGGGACTTTGCTCACCGTATCCTGCTCACTGCTGGTGTAGAGCGTGTGCACTGGGCTGTAGTAAAGTTGAAGAGCAAGACTGCTGGTACCTGGAGTGAAGTGACTCGGTGATAGACACATGTACCTGGAGAGCACTGTGGGCTGGAAGTTCTCCTGAGGGTGCTACCTGCGGGTCAGGCTGAATCCTCTAGGCTCATTCAGAGAGCTAATTGTGTCATCTTGACATAACTGTCTTAACTTTGTATCTTCTGATTCTTTGACTCCTCCTTAGTCACTTTTGTAGTTTACTCTTTCCCCAGTTTTTTCTAAGTGTTAGTATTTTTGTTCTTGAGACAGGGTCTCTCTTTGTAGTCCTGGCTGTCCTGGAACTTGCTATGTAGACCAGTTTGGTCTTGAACTCACAGACAACTGCCTGCTTCTGCGATGAGCTTCCCCTCCCCACAGTTCTGGGATTAAAGGTATGCTCCACCAGTGTTAGTGTTGGTGTTTCTAAAATATTGGTGTTGCTTTGATCCATGTCCTTATCTTTCATTTTCATTCTTGATCTCTCAGAGTGGTTTTGTCTTTTGCTAGAGCTTCACCTGTCCGTGTGCCGAGGTCTCCAGTCTTTTTTCCAAGAGAAATTAGAGCCAGCATAATCCTGCTGGAGACAAGAGATCTGCTCCCTCAGCTCCTTGAATTGCAGGCCTTGTACCTAGATGCCTCCTATCCCTCCACAGGCCCAGGAGAACTCTGTATTTTCCTCCCCACATGCCCTTCCATAATGCCTGGTGCCATCACTAAGCTACCTTGTCAGAAACCTGAGACCCACCCTTTGTCTTGCTACAACCAATTAGTCTCCAAATCCCGTTGAGCACACTTCCCAGAGGCTCCTCTAGGTGGTCTGTTCTAGGCTTGAGCTCCAGTCAAGTCACACCTTTGTTGCATCCTAGCAAAGCACCCTTACCCTCAAGGTCAAGCCCATACTTCTGGGACCTTCAGGGCTCTTGCTTACTTCCCTTAGTGCTCTGCACCCTCCCACTTTCATGTTTACTTAGTTTTTACTGTTTACATTCTGTAAAAGAAACAGACAAGTAGAAGCAACTGCAATAAAATGCCATGAAGGGGCCTGGCGGTGGTGGCCCACGCCTTTAATCCCAGCATTCGGGAGGCAGAGGCAGGCGAATCTCTGTGAGTTTGAGGCCAGGCCGGACCGACAGCCTCCAAAACAATACAGAGAAACCCTGTCTCGAAAAACCAAAAAAAAGAAAAAAAAAAAAAGCCATGAAGGAATCAGAGATTATAAACACATAATCCTCAGACAAAGCTTAATGTGTAGTAGTAGATCGGTAAATATTTGGGATTTCGGGGTTGGGGGGGATGGTGATGCTGGGGACTGTACCCAAGACTTCACATATGCTAAGCACACAATTGATCACTGAACTATGCCACCTAGTCCAGT